GCAGATGTGTGCTATGGAATCCAAAGATTCCGATTCCTTACTTACGTAGGAAAGGTTCCGAGACATTCTCGAGAACGAACAAATTTGTTGCTTGCCCTTAATTTTCATTTTTATTCTTTTCCATTAAATTTGTAATAATTTGTTTGATCGATTCTATATTGTATTACTATATTGTATCTAATTAATAGTATTATTTATTATTAATATGATATTGATTTATATGAAATGTGAATAAAGATATAATTCGAAGTTAATTCGGGGTGAACTAATTTTAATAGTATTGTAATTTTTGACAATGAAACGAACGTGAGCGATTATTACAAGATTTATATATATATATATATCTAACTAACAATAAGTTATTTTTTAATTGTACAAACTCGAGAGTAACTCGGTTACTTCCGTTGTAGGGTCAGGCGTTTTCCGAAGCTTGAGATTTGTTCCGAAGTTCGTATGAATGAAACTTATCCTAATATCTCTGAAGGATGAGGTGAAGAAGGGGGAGAGATTGGTGGAGGAGGAGGAGGGGTGGCGGAGAAGAAGAAGAAGGGGGTGGTGCGGATTGGATGTAAGAGGGTGTGTGAAAGAGAGAGAGAGAGAGAGAGAGAGAAAGAGGAGGCGGACCAAACTAGTCGTCGTAGTCGCGAAGCAAAAGCGCAGGAGAAGTCTGCTAAAGCACGTGCGCAGCCCCCAAGGGCCGGTGTTCTCTTCTTCGTCTCCCGGATCGTCGTTCGAACGGGGGTCACTGGAACGTATACTTGTGTACGAACTGTCCGAGAGACTGTCACTCGCCTCGTGTCGAACCACGTGCTCGCTCACCACCAAAATCACCGATCACAGAAATACGATCCTCATTCTTTACAAATTTTCTTTTCCTCATTTTATCTTCATGTGTTAATTTACTATATTCCTTCTTTATACTCAAGTTTTATATAACCTTTTTGTTATAAATTTTTAATACGCAACCTTGATGCAATTCAAGATACATTATCAGATCTGGTAGTAGTAGTACCAGGTATTTTATTGGATATATATTTTTCCCGCGTTTTTTTTGTGGATACACGAGATGGATAGAAATGATGAAATAAACGTTTAGGTTAAATTTGTTTGTTACATGTTTGCTATATGTTTTTCTTTTCTTTCTAGACAACCATTCAATTGTAGGGTATTTCGATGCCAGTTCGTGTTTTTTTTTGAATCGATTTTCAAGGTAATATGGCTACTGATCGATATTTACTTCGATGATATACAGAGTTTGGATTGGTCGTAGCTGTTTTTATTTTTTGTATCAAATGTCGACTGGTGTTATAGCTTTGAGGGTAAGTATCAATCTTCAATAGAGCATTTCAAAGTCTGAGTGACTGCTGTTGACCATTACTGCTTTAAGTGAATGATATGAAGTGCTATCTGATTCCAAATTCTAACTACTACGTATCGATCATTTAGAAGATATTTAGTATAATAAACTTTGATATTTAATTAATAAAATGTATAAATCATTAAATTATCACCACCCATATAAGATAATCACAAAATTGATCTCTGGTGGATCTATTTTTTCATAACTGCGAATACATGAGACATTATCTTGACTTTTTAGCATATGCGTATAGATTTAGATAAAAATTATATGCACACGTTATATCTTTCTTTTTTTTTTTTTATTACTCTTGATGCATAGACTATTTTCAAGAAAGAAAATGAAAATTCTCTCTCCTTTAGCGGAAGGAGATTCTGAGATTCGAAGAAAAAGCAGAGAAGCATCGGAGCTCGAACGAGACGGTGGTAGGTAGGACCGTAGCCACGATTCTTTCTCGCGTAGCCGAGCATCTCTCAACGGCGCGCATTTCTATGCAAAGACGGTACGTCGAGTACGTCCTTGAGACTCGTGGGTGAATAAGATGCACCGTGGCTCCTCGGTGCTAGCGAGTCGCTTTGCTACGCTTTTCTAAACTCTCTTCGCGCTATTCCACGACATGTTAAGAAACCCCTCGCTGTGTATCATTCTTCAACTATTTCTTCATCTCTTTTTTCTTCCTTTTTTCTTTTTTATTTTTTATTATCTATTTTTCCTTTTTTACTTTTTTCTTCTAGTCTATTCTCATTTACCTTTTCTTTATTTTTCGTATTTTTTTTTTTTTTTTTTTTAAATGAACGAAAAATAAAGGAGTATATAGGAAACGTTACGCGTGGCATACATATTTTTTCTAATAAAACAAAAATATATTTCTTCGTTCTAACGTAACTCTTCTCGTGTTATAAACCAAGGTTACTTTCACGATCCTACTACAACTATCCTTTCCATTCGAACGATTCGTAAGAGGAAGGAACGAAAGAAAGCAGGAGACCGCGACGACGATGATACTTGCAAATTATTCTACAAGAGAAGGGAGTATTATTATTTATATAATAAGAGTTTTCATTTTATTTTCTCTTTACGTCAGATAAGAAAGAGAAATAAATATAGAACACGTGGTATTAATTATAACGAGTGTTTAATATTGCTTTACGGAGAAGTAAAAAAATATTAATAAATAAAAAAATTATCTTCGAAAAAAAAAAAAAAAAGAAAAATAAAAAAAAGGCACAACGGGAGAGTGTAGAAAAAGTTTTGGAGTGTTAAACGTAGGTTCTTCTCGATGTATCGTCGGCTAATAAAATGACGGAGCCGTCCGGACGGCGTGACCTCCCTGTTGGCGTGCACCCTCCCCGTTCTTCGTTCTTGGTCCGTCGAAGGAAAAGCGAGCGAGCGAGCAAACGAACGAACGAACACAGGGAAGAGAGAAAGAGAGATAGAAGAAGAGAAAGAAAAATAAAAAAAGAGTATGAGAGAGAGAGAGAGAGAGAGAGAGAGAGAGAGTGAGAAAGGGAGAAGCGGAAAGGGAAGTGGAGGAGGAAGCGCAGAGGTATAGAAGGCGCAAAGAGGGCGGGAGGGAGAAAAGGAGGGTGGGTAGGGTCGAGGGGTGAACCCCTTATTGATTTTTAGGGTGACACTGTCAAGCGGCGAGTGTCGAGGGAGGACTTTGAAAGGCCGTGGCGCGTCGTCGTCGTCGTCGTCATCGTCGTCGGCGTCAGCGTCGTCGTCGTCGTCGGCGTCATCGTCGTAGTCATAGTCATAGTCGGAGGGGGAAAAAATGTGGCGGCCAACGCGGAAAACCTACTTTGTCGTCGTTTCTTCAGGTTCAAATCATCCATTTGCTGCTATACCTAAATCATTAAATAATTATCTCTGGTTTATTTTTTGTATTCTCTCGTAGATCAGTAGTATTGGTCATCAGTGGGTCATCCTTCTTCTTCTTCCTCTTCTTCTTTCTTCTTCTTATTCTTCTTCTTCTTTTTCTAATTCTTATTATTAATCTTATTCTTATTCTTATTTTTTTTAAACACTGTAACGAATTTCTTTGGGGGAAAAAAAATAGGGAAAAGTAAGAACTTTGTCTGGTGAAAAGGAGAAAGGCGTAGAGAGTATTCGTTGCGTTCCATCGGGGGTGCCTCTGCACACCGGCTTTCCCTTTTTCCGTGTCCCCTCCCCGCTACGCCAATCGTTCGTCCTCGTCCGCGGTCAGGGCCGTATACAGTAGCAACATCAGCGCAAACCACCTTAGTGGGGAGGATATTGTATCACGTGGGGGGAAACTCCATGTATTTATTTTTTCATATCATTTTCCTATTAAATTTTTTCTCTCCTTTTTCTTGGTAAAAGTTCTTTCGTATACTTTTTTTTTTTCTTTTTTCTTAAAGTGAATAGTGGTACTGATATCAAAAGAGTGTGTATCGTATTTATTTTTCGGACACTCGTACATATATGTAACGTTGATCTAAATCATCGTTATTCGTCGTTGGCATAAAGTGAACAGTGAAGCATGAGAGGAAGAGATAGAGAGAGAGAGAGAGAGAGAGAGAAAGAGATAGGGTCACGCATGCAACAGGCGACACCGCCAAACTTTCCTCCTCTCGATTAATCGATCGGAAATTAGAGAGGGTTCGCGGTAATAATTCTGAACGGTGTTCAAATTAATCGCGCGGCAAACGCGTCTCTTCGTTACTCTCTCTCTCTCTCTCTCTCTCTCACTCTCTCTCTTTCTTTCTTTCTCTCTTTTCCTCTCATCTTTTATCCTAAGTAATATCGCTGCTACAAGTACTTACACACTTACGTTGAGGAAAACATTGAGCTTAGAAGTTGCGTTGCGTTCTTCTTCTTCGTCTTGTTCAACACGACGATGTTTATTCTTTCGACGTTTTTCGTAGGAAGAGAAAGAGGAAGAAGAAGCAAAAGAAGAAGAAGAAGAAGAAGAAGAAGAAGAAGAAGAAGAAAAAGAGGTACGAAGATAAAATTCATTAAAATTCAACGAGAAGGTTTTTTAATAAAGTTAAAAAGTTATGTAAAAAAGACAAAAATAGTAGGTATATACTAGAAGAAAAGATTTGCCCTATTGGATATTAAATATAAAGAAAAGGAGAAGGGAAATGAAAAAGGGAAGGGGGTGATGGTGCGTACGGATTGGGCGGGGTGCGCTCGACTCGGCCGATGCATCGGCCTCGATAAAAATGGCAGCACAGTTTCGCTTTCTCCTGCGACGCTTCAACGATCGTTATCGACGGCCAAGGAAGAGATCATCCACTAGTTGACGCTCTAAAGCGCGCAACACCAAAGAACAAGAGAAACAGTGAGAGAGATAGAGAGGGAAAGAGAGAGAAGGAGAGAGCGAACACGTGGTCGCCGTCTGGGTGTCGTATCAGAGGTGTGTGCGTGTATTCCCCCTTCTCCCCTATTTTATCATTGCCTTGCTACGTCCCTGACGCGCACGTGCGTACCTGCATTTCCTCGCGGGCGACGGAGTGGTGCGCACGTGTGTGCGGAACCGACCGATTGCACCACTTCGAAAAGAAACCTTCGCGAAAAGAATACTCGAGGAAAAAACCCGAAAAAGAGAGAGAGAGAGAGAGAGAGAGAGAGAGAAAGAGTTTAATGTATTTGAGATATTTCCAAATAATATACAATAATTCAATACTTCGTTCGTTCGTCGTTGTTTTCAAACTTGCTTGTGATACCCTTTGCTTTAGATAAAAACTTGTGATAATAGTTGTAAGAGAAAGAAACTTTGTTTCGTTAGAGGAATAAAAGAAGATGCAATAAGAGAGAAAGGAAGAAAGAGTGCGACTGTGTGAGAAGAATAAGTGAGTGAGTGAGTGAGTGTGTGTGCTAGTGAAGAGAAGTGTGAGAGAAGGGGGAGGACCGGTGGCGCCATCGACGGCGCACACGTCCCTGTCGAAGAGAGAGGTGCGTCTGTGACTGACTCCGGTGGTGTTTATTCGCGCTCGACTCTCCTTCTCGTTCCCTCTTACTCGCACCCCGCGCACGCCATCCTTGTAGTTGATCGGCGTAATCCTTGGTTTTGGTCACGTCACTTTCGTCATTGTCATCGATGTAATTTTCGTCAGAGTTGGTCGTGATCTGTGTTGTGATTTTGGTGGTATCTTCGATATCATCATCATCGTAATATATATCGTGTGTGCCGTTGCTTTACTGCCGCTCTCTTTTGGTGTACGACAGAGAGAAATATAAAGTGAGAGAGAGTGAGAGAATGAGGAGGAAAGGGAGAGAGTGAGAGAGAGGAGAGAGAGAGGAAAGAGAGAGAGAGAGAGAAAAAGAGAGAGATAGCGCGCGTGTGCGTGTGAGAGAGCGTGTGAGAGAGTGTGTGCGCGTAAACGCGTCGTGTGCGCGTCGTGTGCGCGTCTGCCACCGTTGTCGCTGTTCTCCGCTCCGCTGTGTTTTGGCCTGTCGTCAATCCATGAACGCTTTTTTTTCTACAGTGCAAGGATGAATGAGACTTGAGCGGGATGTCGGGCCTCCGCACGCGTCCCTCGCTCGGTCCGCGTTCGTTTAACGGCGCGAGCTCGTGCGGGACGTTCTGAGAAGGCCGTATGACCAACACGAAATATAAGCGTGACCGCGAAGATGCCGGCGTCGCGACCCAGACACGGCGGTTCCTCATTTTACCTTAGAGAATCTAACTACCTTCCGGAAAGTACGCGCGCGAGAGCCAGCTTACGCTCGAGAACGCCGAGAGAACAGTGATCTGTGTTGTGCGCGAATTTCAAGGGAGCACTCCCACTTAGTTCTTACTCGTTAATCGGTCTCCTACGACAGATTGGAGGTTAGGTTACCGGTACATAACCTATAATCCTTTCACTTTTCTATTTTATTAACCCTCTCACAAGGAATATTTTTGCCTTTGTACGAGATAACGGTCTTAATTATACGATTGCTCTTTAAGTAGAGTCTTTTTTTTCTCATTTTTTTTTCTTACCAACTGTTTTCAATCTTGTGCTGAATCTTACTACAGTGTGTGATCAGTGTTATGGAATGAATCAGTGGAATAGAGGACAATGAAGGCCAATGGGACGAATAATGGTGAGCTTTTATGTCTATTTTATGTTTACTCCTTTTCTTTTACCATAGTAGATTGTTTATCGTAAAGGTTAGGATGCAGGTTAAATAGCTTGCGTAGAGAGTTAGTGGATACAGAGTCTACGCTAACCATGTTCTTATTTTTCTTGATAGTTTTATACTTTGTCAGATGGTTATGAATGCTGTTTCTTTTGAAGAATGGTGTGTTATATGTAGTAAAGTAATCTTTATTATGTTACACCAAAGTCATAACATTCTTCTTCAGTTGTAACGTAATGGTATTAGATTAAAGAATAGAAAACATATATATTAACAAAGTATATACATGGAAATAGGCTCTGTATGATGCTAAAAACTAAAGATATTGCATAAAAAGTATTATAATATGCTTAATAGATTGGTTACGCAGCAAAGTTCTTAAAAATATTTACTCCGTCTCTTCATAACAATCATGTACGCTTATCTATTTTATGTATGATTATATAACTTAATAGAAATCAAATTGAAATGGTATGTGTGAACAAAGTAGTAGTTAAATATATGAAAACTTTCTGCTTTGAGATTGCTTTTACCAAATGCTACCTTTACATATCACAGAATATTCCATTAACATATATAATATTTCTTTTTCAGGCTGCAGCCGCCTGAACACGCCATTGGCACCCACCACCACGCTGGAGGATCCAGGGACACCAGCCTCCTGGAAGGGCCCACCGCCCGGCTCAGAGGCATCACCTTTTACGCCTAATTCTGTTGGTCAGGGTGGAGGTCCGGGTTCGGGCCCTTATAATAATACTGGTGGGCCACCTAGTAATGCCGGTTTTCAAGGACCAAGTCCATTCCCTGGTGGAGCTGGAAGTCCAGCGGGTGCGCCACCTTATCAAGGGCCACCACCAGGTTCAGCAACACCTCAGTACACTGCATCTCCAGCACCTAGTGGTTCGTCGACTCCTGGTCCAGGACCACAGCCAAACTCCTCCGGATTTCCACCTCCACCTAACAATTCCGGGCCACCGTACAACGGGCCCGGACCTAGTCCATTTGGTTCACCCTCTGGAGGACCGCCTCAGTTTGTCGGTAGGCCCGGTTCTTCCGGTCCACCGTTCGTACCCCCAGGAGGTAGTAATCCTCATTTTTCTTCACCTGGTCAACCTTTTGGTGGGCCACAGTATGGTATGCCACCTGGGAGTCCCTTTGGACCCGGAGGACATCCCATGACGGGTCCGATGGGGCCTGGACATCCAGCCATGATGGGTCCTGGTGGTCCCGTCGATAGAATGGACCAAGGGTGAGTGTTATTTCAATTTTTTAAGATTAACAATTATACTTCCGACATACTTCCTTTCTCGCGTTAATATTATAGTTCATCATATTAGAACACTCTCAGTTATGGATAATATGTTAATTGAAAATTTTAAGAGAAATACCATGTATATATATGTATCTGCAACTCGGTTTCTTTAATTGATACAAAATTATAGCTTAACTCATCTGATTTTTTTTCTTTTTTTTTTTTTATTCCCTTTGCTTCAAATTTTCTGGTATCGTAACGCGATTATGATTCGGGTGGGCAACATGTGGGGAGTGTTATACGAAGTAGCAATTACCGTTCCGGCGGAACGTGCGATAAAAAGATGGTGCATAATGCAACACGATGAAAGTCTCATTGGATAGTGTAATTACTTTGCGAGTGGGACTCTTCGCGAATTTAATTAGTCCTTAACCGGAAGTCCCCTTCTTCCAAGTTTTAACTTGCTCACGCGAGTCATTGTGGCTTCCTTCGTCCTTCCGATAGGAGTTAGAGGAAGAAACGGTGGTGGCGGAGGAGAAGGAGGAAGGGGGGAAAGGACAAGAGGAAAGAAGTAGATAGGTTGGTAGGAAAAAGAGGGAAGTTAAAATAAGAAGAAAAAGAAGAAGAGAGGAAAGAGAGAAGGAAGAAGGTCGAGGTGCATATCATCGACATGTAGAACACGAGAGGACGCTGCAAGTTGTTTTCAAGAGGCGCGGATATTCCTAGATAAGATTGTTTCCCAGGTAGTTATTTATCGCTCTTATCCCGGTCAGTCCACATTCTTCTTAATCTCCGGTATCCCATAGAATTTGTTCTACGTTTATATTTTGGTCTATTTGAAAATTGTGTCCAACGAAAATAGTTCATTTTAAAATCGTACGAAAGCAAATATATATAATTGCATCTCGTTGTCATAAATAACGTAGAAAACGAACATAATAATAATAATAATAATAATAATAATAATAATAATGCATGCGTGTTTTAAAAAATAAAAAAGAAATTATTTTCAATTATTGTTTATATTAAAAATATGAAAATTTTGTTGGAAAAATCGCTATTATTTTTATATTGTAATACTTTTAGCTCGACTTGTACTAAGGGAGGTGATGCGGACTTTTGTACGTTACTGTACGCGACCCACCTCCCCTTCCCTCCTTTCTCCCTAAACCCTCCTAGCTACCCCGTGTTACGGTGAGAGAGCGACTCGGTTGGGTAGAGGGGAAGAGGAGGAAGGAGTTTGGGAGAGGGGAGAGGGAGAAAGAGAGAGAGAAAGAACGATGGTTCTCATATTTCCTGTATTTTAATTTTTCATGATCTCTCTCTCTCTCTCTCTTTCTCTCTCCTTCTCTTTCTTTCTCATTGTTTTCTCGATCCGTCATTAAATAGATTATTTCTTATTGACCGTTCTACTTCTTTTTTTCTTTTCTATAATATGCGATCATCAAGTTTAGTCAGCAATGTTTAGTCAGCAAACCTCCGTTTTCTTCACCTACATCTTTTCATTTCTTTTCCTTTTGTCGTAGAAACATCGGACAAGGACTTGAAATTCGATCGTCCTGTCGTGACTGGCCGATCGATAGTTAGCGGCACGTGTAGAGATATCTCGAAAGGACATTCGTTAGATGTTTAGTTGTTAGATCTGCGTAAACGTACTATTAAAATCCGACTTAGAATTAGTTTAAACGATATCAAGCGAATAGTCGTCATCAGATTGATGAAAGGTATCTAGTAGGGTGTATATTAAATATCCTTAATATTAGATTATTCGAAATATTTCATGGTATTGATCGTGTTCTATATTCTTCTGAACATAGTAATATATGTATCTCGTCCCTAAATCTAGATAATCTCATCCATGTATCTATATATGTGTGTCTATAAGATGAATGAATTTAACGTTACAGGCCAATGAAATAATCTCGGATGAATTTAATTAAATTAGATAATACACAATGATAAATATCGACGGTAATAGAGAAACTTGTTAAAATGATTAACTCGAGAAGCAAGGAGGATTAGAAGAATCAAAGTTGAGAACCGCTCTGGTTCTCTCTTTCCTTCTTCAGTCTTCCCTGGTCGAGAGGGGCGGGAAGGAGAACAGAGGTGGCATTGGTGTTGGTGGTGGTGACGGTGGTGGTGGTAGTGGTAGTAGTGGTGGTAGTGGTGGTGGTGGCGGTGGTGGTGGTGGTCGGGGCCGACTCTGCTCGTGCGTCTGCCACCTCCGTTTACACTTTGCCGTGTAGAGGGATCTCGCTATGTCGGGATCTCCGGCGTGCGTTTCGTTACCGTTTGTCTCAGGTCGTGGTCGACCCGCGGTTCCACGCTGTTTCACCCAGAGAGCGTTTGAGAAAACGACGAGCACGAGCATTCCTATCGCTTTGTAGCCCCTTCCCAGTTGGCAGGATATTCCTTTTACTCTACCTCTCCACCTTCATCTCTATCTCTTCCTCCACCCCCTCCCTCACCTCCTCCCTCTTCTTCTCTTTCTATTATTATTATTATTATTATTATTATTATTATTATTATTATTATTATTATTATTATTATTATTATTATTCCTCTTCTTTCTTTACTGTCTTGTCCTTGACGAGATGAGTGCTTCATATTCGCAGCATCTTCAACAACCATCGATCATCCTTCCTTATCAATCTTGGTCCAATCCAGAACCGAATTAAACTCACCGGTTCATTGTCTTTTCTCTGTATTTGTATGGATGCTATTGTAATCGTGATGCAAGTCAAATAAATTTAACTATAATGAAATAAAGTAAAAGAAAAGATTAAAAAATAAAAAATGAAAAAAAAAAAAAACAAAAAAAAAAATAAACAAATAACAACAGGAATGCATCAACGAGGACTCTAATTCTGGATCACTCGTCTCAAATTTATGATCGATCATTCATAATCTCTTTCCCTCTCTCTTTTTCTTTCTCTTTCTCGTTCTCTTTTAAACCCCCTTCCCCCCCCCCACCCCCCTTCCCACGTCCTTTCTCTCTTTTCAAAGTCTCAAGAGTATTTTTCAAGCCCACTCGTCGCGCTTGCTTCCGACACAACGTCCGCATTATTATACTCGTACTTTTACGATACGATCATGCACTACTTTGCCGAAGTTCACGACCTCTAAAAAGTTAACTCGAAGAAAGTTCTCGAAGATCAGTTAGCCCCTCTTCCTCTATCCCATTTTCTCTCTTCCTCTTCTTACCTTCGTCCGGTTATCGGGGGACTCGTTGAACGCTAATTGAGCACGAAATGCACGATACCAAAGACGACACTTCTAAAGATCTTTCTTCCTCTTTCTCTCTCTCTTTTTCTCTTTCTCATTCGATGAGAATATTCAAATGTCTCGTAAGATTATCAGAAGTATTCTAGAATCATTTTTTAAGACTTTAGTTAGTAGAGTAATATGGATCGTAGTAAAGTTGATAATCGTTGGTAGTTGTGGCTCGATCATGCGTTAAGATGAAATCCTTGAGTAAAATTAGGAAGAAACGAATCCCGTAGACCTACTCCGAATTTCGAGCTCTCGTGGCTTGCATTATTAACTGGGTGGTGGTGGTGGTGGTGGTGGTGGTGCCGGTAGTGCCGAGGAAAGAGATAGTATTGATTTTTACCGATATTTAGCTGTGGAATTATCCCCTCTTCTCTCTCTCTCTCTCTCTCTCTCTCTCTCTCACTCACTCACTCACTTACTCACTCACTCTCTTATTCACTCTTTGCTTTCTCTTTTTCCCCCCTCATACCCCGAGTATTTCTTTCTCTTTTTCCCTCTGCCTCACCCCCTCTTTCACCTCACCTCACCGTACCTCACCTAACCTTTTCTTTCTCTTTTTCTTTCTCGTACCTTCACGAGTCCCCTTGGAGTCACCCTCAGCAGGCAGAACAACACCCTTCGCGAATCCTGAAGAAGAAAGAGAGGGGTAAAGGGAGAAATAAAAAAAGAAAGAAGAAAAAAGAGAAAGAGAGGGAGATAAAGATAGAGAGGTATCGTCGAGAACAAGAAATATGAAATAGCTATGACCCGGAAGAACATTTCTATGCTTGGTGTGTGCTTGTGTGTGTGTGTGTGTGTGTGTGTGTGTACTTTGAATAATGCTGAAAAAAGAAAGAGAAAAAAAATATGAAGAAAAAGGACAGAAAAGAAAAATAAGACAGTTTTTCGTCCCACGTTAATAAACCTAATACAGTAAAATGAATATTATTAAATAGTTTTCGTAGTTTGCACGGTATAAAAATAAGACATTGAACATATTTCTTTCGAATTCTATTAGGATTTTATTCTTCTTACATTCTAAATATTAGCCATGAAGGGATACGGAAGGGTTGATGCAACGATAAAGTAGTACCTCTGTTTAAAAGTAGATCCTTAGATCCCGTTCGGTTGCAGGGAACATTTGGTTTCGGTATATAATAGTTAAAAAGAAAACTTTCCTTTAGTGTTAGAAACTCGTCGAAATGGGACGAACGAACGATCGTCGACTCCTTCCTTCTTTCCTTCCTTGTGTTTCCTTCGTTGTGCATCAAAGTCTCCCTAAGTATGGTACAAACCCTTCGTCCCCCTTCGATGCTTGTGGCGACCTCCGACGGGGTGCAAGAAGAACTTCGATGCGACGCCTTTTTGGATATGTTAGACAGAGTTTTAAGAAGATACCTTTCATTTGTTTTGTATTTATTTATTCATTATTAATCATTATTAATATTAATACCTTGATTTTATAATTTGATCATGTATTTTTGTAATCCTAAAAGTAGACACAGCATTCATAATAATACTATTACACATTTCCATAATCATAATAATTTTGTTCATAATTTTTATCCAAATATTCATTCAAAGAGTATAGAGAAAATATAAATATTAATATAAATAGTTTGGATTTAACAAAATTCCTTCCCCAAAGAAAGAAAGAAAGTTATGTTCATCCCTATCTGACTCAATAAATTGTAGACGAGGTAACGTTATCAGGTAGAAGATCAGTGTATGGGTTATTTAATCGA